TTTTTTAGACACTAGATCTAGCACATATGCATATGAATTAATTGTTTAATAAGCTATCTGCCAGATAATTGTATTGATTGTATTGTCAAATAACTGTCCTACTAAAAAAAATTTGTGATTCAATGCCACATATAAAATGCATATTTGTCTATATGTTTTATATTTTTCGTATAAGTTAAAGTTGGGTAGTATGACACGGATACGTATCATTTCACCGACAATCATTTTACCGACAATTCATTTCACCGACAATCAATTCACCGACAAGTTTATTTCAACGACAACTATTTCAACGACAGCTCATTTTACCGACAAGTTTTTTTAAAAAATTGCACTAACCTTAACTCTAATTCTAATCTGACCCTAACGAAATGACCAGAATTACTTTGTCGGTGAAATGATTGTCGGTGAAATAACTGTCGGTGGAATAAACTTGTCGGTGAATTGACTGTCGGTGAAATGGGCTGTCAGCGAAGCGATTGTCGGTGAAATAAGCACCACCCCTATGACACACCTAAGAGTACGCTAACAGTAAAGTCCTTTTAAAAAATATATTATTCCTAAAATTTATTGAAATGAACTAATATTCGACTTAATTTAATTGACAAGCTAAAAAAAAACTTAGAATATTGTTAACAAAACCTGCTATTCAGAACTTTCATATCCACTATATCTACTATATTTGTAAGAAAATTTTTTAACGATAAATGTTTAATTAAATACTAACTATACTATTACATTGATATTTTAGTAGTTTACAATTTGAACTTATAAAAATTTTTAACAATAAATATTAATCAATATTAATCAATACTAATTATACTATTATTTTTTCATAATTATTTTAGAAGTATAAATAGTACTGTAGTAGGTTCTGTATAAATAATACTGTAGTAAATCTTAAAATTTCTAATCAAAAATCTTATACGGGAACGGAGCGATATATAAATATTGTGAAGTATACGATGTTGCCTCACATATCTTATGTTCGTTAGATGATTTACTGAACATGATAGGGGTCCGAATGCATATTTTGCCTTTTGCGTCCTTTGCTGTCACATCTTTTGATTAACCTTTCGTAGCTAAATTCGCCTGAACTCAGTTCAATTGTACAAAATAATTTGTACGTGCCAAAGCCAGTGGATTTTAGTAGCATCTAAAATAGCGCTATTTTTTTAGTAAAATAGCTAGCAACAATGTTTGTGCTAAGATGCGAAATTTGCTACTTTTGTACTAAGCATGTGACTATTACTTTTGTTTTTAAACTGATTTATATAAAAAGAGTAATTATATGCATGTTTTAAATGATTACTAGAGAACTTATTAAAATGATAGATTAAGAACTCATCGAAGAACATACTTACTACAGTACATTAAATTTTATATTTGACAAACTTAAGTTTGTAATAAGTTATTTTGCTAATTTTGCTTACCAATTTTGCTTTTAACGACCACTGGATCTGGTACGTACATAACTACATGCTCAGGTAATATTCATATATGTCGTACGTATGTACAGTATGCGTACATTGATTTTTATTATTAACCGATGATGATTAAAATTATATAATGTTGATTATTTTTCATTTTATTGTGATTGGTATAAGGTTTTATTTTGTTAATATCAAAAACCAATTCATTGTTTAAACTAATCGTTATTTACTTAAATGGATATTATAAATATAAGTCAAAGAAAATATATAATTCTTTTGCAGCTATATCCGAATAAATAAATTTGTTAAAATCGCGCCATTCTTAGATTTAATAATAATTTGCCAAACTATTAATACTAATTTGGCTTAGTATTGAAGTTCTTAATAAGATTATGTCATATTTATTACGATTTGCATTTTTTGGTCAAATTGTGAAATCGCCGTTCATCTATACAATCACCTGATTGTCGCCGATCGTGTGATTGTAAAGTGATTTATTAGTAAAATTCAATATGAATGTGTTATTTTCATCATATTGGTTAGGCATTGTTAGTTATACTCGCTAAAAATCGGTTTGTACGACTGCGTAATCGGACAACAATCAGATGACTGTATAGGTGAGAGAGCCTACCCAGTAGGGCCGTGGGAAATGCTCAAATCAGATGATCTACACCCAAAACAAACGAATATTCCAAAGTCATAAAACCTTATGTTAGGGTTTGGGTAATAACTGAAGGAAGACTTTTCTGTACTAAAATTTTGCAAGGAATTTTTTCTTGTTAGTGCGCAGAAGGTAATTTCATTGACAAAATTTTTAAAAAAACGTGTGGTTTTCACCTTACTGGTGTCGCTTAGGGTAGCAGGTGAGCGACGATCTACAAACTTTATCAAAAATAAATCATTTTGCAAATCGCGATAATTGATACGAATTGGAAATATACTGAAAAAAAATAAGAATGGGCGCACCAGAATTGTATTTACTGACATATATATTTTGTTTATGAATAATAAATACTGCATAAATTGACGATTTCTAAAACACAATTCGTGCCAATAATTTAACCTTATTACGGTTTGCAACGAGATTTTGTCAAAATTGTGATGGGGTAATTACTTATAACTTCGGTTGGTGAAGTGTAATATGAAAGTTGTGGGATTGAAAGGGATTAAGTAAATATGTTGTAAGGCAATGTGTGAACTTCAAGTATATCTAATAATTTACCTCGTTTGATAGAGAAGATAATCTACCCGAGCTTTTAATCAAAGTATTGTAAATCGTATAAAAAAATTTAATAATTGTGTAACAATCGGATCGGATCATCATGTAACATTTAAGGAGTAATATTCATTTTCAAAATTATGATCACCCTTGCATAGTATGGTGGTTAGGTTGTTGATTTGTTATCACACAGTTTGTGCACTAGCATCAATTACTGATACCACCATAAACTGATTTTTTTTCTTATTTTTTATTCGTACTCCCTTGTAAATTAATTTTTTCAGACTTTAAGCGAAGATAGCCTAACAACCACTAAGTCAATCTTGATAACTTTTTTTGATTTGAATTTTACGAATCTATAGAATTTTTAAATAAAAAAAAATTCATTAAATTTTACTTATTGGTTTTCGAAACATCTTCGCTTAAAGTTTGAGAAAAATTTTGGCGCAGTTGTTAATTGGTAGACGTTGAGTTTTCTTAAAACTTTAATTCGATAAACTTTTTAGTTGAATTCTAAAAGTTTGCAGAAAGGTTTACCAATTTGACTTAGTAGTTGTCAAGAGTTCTCAAAGTTTAAAAAATTCAAAACGTCTATCAAAATAAAGCTGCGCCAACATTTTTTCAAACTTTGATCGAAGATATCTCGACAACTATCAAGTCAAATTCGATAATTTTTTTTTATTTTTAATTATATAGACACGCAAAATTCAAATAAAAAAAGACGAATGATATTTTCACACCTCTTTTTTGATATACACCCATGCAGATCACTTTTTTAAAACTTTAATCGAAAGTATTTCGACGACTACCTGACAAAATTTAATAAATTTTTTTTTATTAGAATTCTATGAGTCTTGTAATTCAAATAAAAAAATTCATCAAAATTGGCTAGGTGGTTATCGAGATACCTTCAATCAAAGTTAAAGAAAATTTTGCTGCGGCTATTATTTTGATAGACATTTAGATTTTTTTAAGCCTTTGATCGAAGGTATCTCTACGACCACCTGACCAAATTCGATGAATTTCTTTTTATTTGAATTTTAAAGACTCGTAGAATTCTAATAAAAAAAAATTTTATTGAATTTTGTCAGGTAGTTGTCGAGATACTTTCGAGCAAAGTTTTTTAAAAAAATCTAAACGTCTATCAAAATAAGAGCTGCGGCAAAATTTTCTCTAACTTTGATTGAAGGTATCTCAGTAACCACTTGACCTATTTCGATAATTATTTTTTTTATTTGAATTCTATAGACTCGTAGAATTCTAATAAAAAAAATTTCATTGAATTTGGTCAGGTGGTTGTCGAGATACCTTCGATCAAAGTTTAAAAAAAAATCTAAACGTCTATCAAAATAATAACCGCGGCAAATTTTTTCTAACTTTGATTGAAGGTATCTCGATAACCACCTGACCAATTCCGATGAATTTTTTTTTATTTGAATTCTACAGAATCGTAGAATTCTAATAAAAAAAAAAATTTATCGAAATTGGTCAGGTAGTCGTCGAGATATGTTCGATTAAAATTTTTAGAAAAGTGATCTACATGGGGGTGTGGAAATATCAAAGGGTGTGGAAATATCAATCGCCTAAATCAATTATATGCTCGATCAAAAAAGCTAAATTATATTAAATTTTTATCAAGCCTTTTTATCAAAAAATTTGATAGTTTATATATTTATGATTTATGATTATATACATTGTATACTATAATCGACCCTTAGTAATCATTTAATTTCGCGCAATTAGTACGTATTAAACATATCGAAATTTTGAATCCAGTGATCACAGTCAATCTAAACCTACCTCGGGTGGGTTAATTAAAAATGTCGGGAAGGCAATTTTGCTTATATATTTCTACCTAAAACCTAACACAACCAAATATAAGATGACCCTAACCCTAAAAGTTAATTGAGAAAATTATTAAGAAATATGAATTGCCCCCGCTTTAGAAGTTCCCCAAAGTTAGTAGGAAAAGGCACGTATTTACCATTAACTACTTTAATTAATGTCAACACAATGAAAATTTTCGATCGATAGATCAATCAATAGTGCATCATAAATTTATTAATAAAATTTTTTATCTGGTTAATTGAAAAGTTTAAAAACTAAATTTGTTCAAGTTTCAACGAATATTAATTTTGAATAATACATTTTGATGACTCATGATAATTCTTCTAGTCGTATCATTAATCATCTAGTGCTAAAATCGCACATTTAAATTCTAGTGTCTTTTCACATCGACCAATTCTTTAAAATCACAACAATGTTTCAATGTTTTTAATATTCATTTTTAATAACTTGAAAAACATCAAATTCTTCAATAATAAATTGTTCTTGACTTTGCCTCAAAGCTATCTGGTAGCTAGTTTGTTTACATCCGCATGGTTGCCCAATTTCAAATGACCTTTAGGGAATAAATCACCTTTTTCAAATACGGGTGAACAATAAACATTACAATAAATTGAATCTTTAGGATCTATAACTCTGCTCAATATATCATTTGTT